CAAGTAAGGGAGGCATGATGGGGTGAGGCGTTTAGAGCGCATTTTTTAATGTAAAATTTTGTTGGTCATCTTCGTTAAGTACGCATTTATTTATGACTGTAGTTGGCAATCTTTTTCGTGCCAACGAGGGGGGGAGTCAGCCACTCCCTAGCAAACAAACATCAGAAAATCTTGAAGGTACGCTAATGATCCTCGAAACTGAAGGACTGAAACTACAAAGCACAATCAACTCTGCAACGTCCACTCTCAAAAGTCTAAATTTAATTTAATCCATAATCTTACAACGTAGCACAGCATGTAAACATTGTAAAAATTCTGCTGAAAATATTTGTCAAGAATATTCATCTAACTGAGCGTAAATTTACATGATACTTTTTTTTCTATTTTTGAGGCTATTTGCATCTTATGAACAAACAAGACAACACAAGCGTACCTTTTATAAAAAAATATATATAAAATCTGCTAAAATCTCGGCATTGAAGGCCAACAACTTCTCCCCTCGTTCAAAATGATCTACGTAACGAATCATGAAAAAAGTGAATTTTTCACTCTAATGTTAAGCCATACATATGATTATTATGATTATTATTGTTATGATGATGATGTCGGGCTATTGTAATATTCTTTATTCCTTCCCTTTCTGACATAAATTCTCGAATCATAAAAAGAAATTTGTTGATGCTTAAAATTTAAATACAGAGTACTTAATTTTGTTTCGAGGATAGTCAAGAGCAAGTCCTTAATGAGACCATATCATGGGAGTGGAAAATTTCCATGGAATTTCAATTTTAGATTGTTTGTGAATAAAAGTATCCGAGTTTTTGGGAAATTAAAGTCAAGAACGCAGGTCTAATAATTGAGAGTTTAGTCTCTGATGGGAATTGAACTCTTATCCTCACAGAAGAGAGCTTAAGACACCCATTCTGTTGCATAACATCATGATCATTGAAATCTACTCCTTCTTCTGACAAATTCGCCTCCATATGACTCAGAAGACTCAAATACATCAAAACTTGCTCAAATTTTAATCTCGACAGATTAAACCTTAAGTAATTCGATGACAAACAATTATGATTCTCAGAAAGGAACAATAAGCCAACTTATTATTTTTCATAAGAAATATTTTCATCAGGCTAAAATAAAAGCAGCAAAGCATGTTTTCAGACATCCTTCCAGTGAAAAACGACCGAAAAAAACTCAACAAATTCTACAGAGCTATAAAAACGGAACTGGCATGAGACATATGAAATATTAGCCCAAATATTGTGTCTCGAGATTAAAGTCACATTTCAAAAATATTGATAAAACACATGCATTAGTCTCATTGACTCATTGTCGTTATTGATAAGGCAGCTTCACATGATTTGATTTGTGTACGCCTTCGAAATCTCCGTCAATATCAGTTTGAAGCTAGATTAATTTCCGTTTATTTCGACTGGCAAGCTCATAAGCTAGACGGCTTGGATTAATAATCTATTGAGCATGCAATGATGCAAGGCCTTTGTTTATCTAGATTTGTCGCGAGATAATGTCTTCCTGGATCAAGTGATGAACATAGTAAACTTTATTAATATTGAGCCCTAACAATGAGAAATGAAAGAATACTTTTCAACACGTGACAATATAAACATGCAGCAATGAGGAGCTTAATTATAGGAAAAGGTATTTGGGGCCGTTTATTATGACGTCCAGGGGTGGGGGGAGGGGTGGGGGGAGGGGGGGGTCAGCAAGAAAAGAACAATAGAAATTCCAGGAAATCCATTGTTATTTTTCGAAAAATGACCGTTAATTTCGGACGTCATAAGTGAACGACCCCTTTAGAACTTTTCGTGTTGATGAGCTTATATGAAAGCTGAAAATTGCTTTTGTTTCGCAGAAAATCAGCTTAAAAATTTGCTTGACATTTATGATTTTTAAAAGCTATTGCTACTCAAAATGATTTGTTATGTTCTAAGCTTATTGAACTTTTTATAGAATTAATAAAGAGTCATTCGTGACATTTCGGGACTGTTGGCAGTTAACATTGTGGATTTTATTTAATATTTTCTTCTTAGAAAATCTTATGAGCTTTTGGGGATTGTTTAAAGGTAAAACTTTCTTAAAATGGAGCTTTTATATTTTTAAAGTGAGGCATTTGGTTCTAGAGTCAGAATTCTAGAGAAAGAAACAACCCATAGTCGATTTTTTTCATACCCTAGAAAGCTCCTGGTTTATTTATGATTTAGGGATTTTATATAAATGGACCCAGGTTCCATTGGTCTAAAGCAGTGTTGTCCAATATTTTTGAGCCAAGGCACACCTTAGAGGTAAGCTATGGCCCAGGGGCGTAGCCGGGGGGGGGCCCATTCGAAAATGCCCCCCCCCCCTTAAAAATTTTCTGGCTACGCCCCTGCTATGGCCGAAAAAGCACTCAAAATGGCTCGTGTCCGTTGTAGAAAAATTCTTTGGCGCACTAGTGTGTCGCGGCACACAGCTTTGACAACACTAATCTAAAGTTTGAACACTCCTAAGCTTGTAGAATAAACCGTTCACGATGATCTTTAAAAAGTTTAAATTTTAAAATCCAGTATGTGCAATTCTTGGAATTCAAACTTGATTAGAGCCAGTTTTAGGTGGCATCTGAGGGAGGCAATGGATCACAATTGATCTATAAGGTCATCAAAGTAAGTAGGTAAGAACTTGATTTATGATTCATATGAACTAGCTATGTCACTTCATCCCATCGCTTTCTAAAGCGGTAAATTTCATAAAACTTCAAAACTTAAATGTCGAATTAATTGCTTTAAATGAACTTCAAAGATAGCTAAAGTAATTCCTAACTCCAAAGCAATCAAACATCCATAAATCCTCCTAAAAATTAAACGTTTCATCACCCACAATTTTCCACAAAATCAACATCCAGCATCTCTTAAATTTCAAGCACTTTATGTGCAGTAAAAAGCAGTAATTTACATTCATCAAAATGGTTGTAAGGTCCGAAATGATGATGAACTTTACCATGCAGTAAAATTGTGGCTGTTGTTGATCCTATAAAAGCATCTGATGTTGATGGAGAATTTGCAATGTATGTCAATATGATTTCAAATCTACCAGCAGACAAGCAACAAATGATTTATCAAATGGACGCAAAGCCTTATTGGAAGGTTTTTGGCAAAAATGAATTTCCAGCACTATATATTTGTGCTAATCGTGTGTTTGATATGGTGGCATCGTCTGCTGCTTCGGAACGTGTTTGGTCTGCTTTTGGATTTATTCATTCAAATTCGCGTAATCGATTGATTACAACTCGAGTTGAAAAATTAACGTCAATTTATGTGAACAATGCCATTCTTAAGCAGCTAGATGCTATTAATAGCTTATTTTCTGATGAATTCTTATATGAAAATGATTTTGAATAGCTGCATTATTCATTATATTTAAATTAGCAAAAAAATAAATAACGTATTTTTTGATTTTTGAAAATCTCATATGCGACTATATAGTCGCATATATTCGACTATTTTTTTGTTCATAGTCGAATATATTCGAATATATTCGACTATTTTCCCAACCCTAAGTAAAATAGAAACAAAAAAAAACTTTTTTTTATTAGTGTCGCTTTGCACAGATCTAAGCATTTAGATGAGCATTCATTTCCATTAAGTCAGAGGTAGAATGAAAAAAAAGAGTCAGTAAACATGCAAGATAAAGTAAATGTAATGTGCAGAAAGCTTCAAAAGGATGTAAAATAAAACTGAGAAGCATACAATAAAGGATCGTAATTAGTAATCTTGCATATGCAAAGCTTATTTAATTTTGTACTTTAAACTTTTAAATGAACATTTTACTGGAGAAAAAGTAAACACAATTGACAAATAAAACTTTGTGTTGGAGCATTATGGATGAGCATGTGGGTGGACTAAGCAATAAAAAGTTATGTGGATTATTTTTATGGAAAGCTGTTTGATAAAATTCTTGATTTTTATTTATATCAACTTTCAAATTATTAAGCTTTAGTTGAATTAAAGGATATTTAATTTATTCTCTTTAGAATTGAAGTAGATTAGATTTATATTTAGGTGAATCTGTGCTAGTAAGGTATCTTGTGGTTATGCAACAGGCTAAGAATCTAGAAGATCATGTAGGGAAAAGGGTTCGAGTCCTTACAATATAAATCGAACACAACTATCTTGAGTCAAATTTCCGTGACTTCTTTAAGCTAGATTTCAATTGCAAATCACTTGACCGTTAAAGACTAGCACAAACTATTCAGTTAAAGTTTTATTAAAATTCTACGAATTTAATATAATTGCAATTAATTGATAGGAGCTAAATATTACAGTTATAATAAGCAGTTAAGTGCCTTGCTGGTCGAATAGGTAAATTAGGCTTGGCTCAAATTTGGTATGGTAACTCGAAGGTCGTCGGTTCGAATCCAGCCATTTCCAAATTTGTTCTTTTTCAGAAGTTTAGATACTTCGACTGCTTAATGTACGAGATCAAGCCATAATTGGGCATTTGGGCAACGTTGGATTAAGGAACGGATCAGGAACTTGAAGTGTAGCGGGAGAAATAGGAACGAGAGCTACAAGATTACCTTATAATGGAATAATGTCAGAACGGACCTGAAATGTATCACGTCACGCCCACAGAAGATTGAAACGAGAGCCTGAATTTAATCGAAACCTAGATTTGAAGATTAAAAGCTTGATTCTACGTCACCCATAGTGATATGAAATGTATCACTAATCAATGTGAAAAGTAAAAACATGTATAAATACTAATTCTTCCGGACGGTAACGTCGACAAATAAATAATAATAATTGTGTGACCTAAATCATTAGTTTGACATGTGCATGTCCAAAAAACAAAGTCTTTTGCATTCCGTTTTGTTTTCGTCCCCTTAATTTTATTTAAATATGTTTAAAAATAAACATTCAGAAAACTTACAACTTTAGGGAAGTTAATGATATTTAATTTGACTCAGATGACTTTATTGAAATTTGAAAAAACTATTAAATTTAATCTATTTTACCAAATTTAAAATCAAATGAATCTATAGTTCCATAATAAAGCTCAGAAAGTCTTCGATTTAAGTTATTTTTTATAAAACTCAATTCACTTTCAATACAGCTGAAAGGATAAGGAAGGACAGTAGTTTCACCAGTCAAATATTGAGTAACAACACTGCCATCACTATTTAATAGAGAACCTAATGCGATGCCAACAGATTTGTGTAAACATGGTATTTGTGACATCAAATTATTCATCCATAAATAGTCATCTATACCAAGTGATTGAAAAACTATTCTGTAACCTAAAAAAAAATTAAAAACTTATGGATTTTCGAAATTTTGATAGAATTACTTTAACTAACCATTCAAGGACACTCCCATTTGTTTACTGACATTGACGCCAATTTCTTTAATTTGTTTAAATCTTGATTTTAATTCAGCACAGGTGTTTGGAGTTGCTAGAATATTTTAAACAATTTTATTAAGCTCTTCTAGAGACCAAGCCAAAAGCGGATAGTCAGGAAATGATAACTTACTTTCAGGCTGTACTGAATTCTCCAAAAGATGTTCCGCATTTACATTTATGCTCCAAATGTACTGCTTCATGTTAACTATATCATTAGAAATGCATCCAATTGGTGTTTCAGATTCAGATGATAAATTACCATTTAAAGTTTCAGCTACATAAACTCGATCAACTCCAGAAAAATGACTAATTACATCACCAACGAATCGAAATGCTGAGTTTGTTTGACATTTAAAAATATCGACGAGAGCTGGTGTGAAGACAGGATATGCTGATGAAGCGCTTAAAATGGTATCTTGATATTGATCCACAAGATTAAACCAAGCTTGTTCAAATGCCTGAAAATTACTGGCAAATGGTTCGCAAGGTGACGGTCCACCGCAATATACAGCACTTATTGATGCAAGGATTATGAAATTTTTTACACTTTTCATTATTGATGATCTTCGTCTGTTGTTAACTGATTGATTTCAACAATTGATACAAGATTAAGGTTCAACAATCGTCTTTTATACAGAATGTACAAGGAACGATCTGGTCACGAACTTCATGATCATCAAAAGCGATAATTTAATTATAGTGAATTGCGATTAAATTTGAAAAATCAAATTATAATTAAATTTAATATCCTAATAAAAAATTAATTTCTAATTATAGAATTTTAAATATTTCAATGTTATGTATTACATCAGCAAGGAAAAGAGTGTTAGACAGATTTTATTAATTTTCAACCTTAACAAATTGATCAATTGTGCAACCCAAGGGTGTGGTACTGATGAAATGATCAAAAATGATAAAAATTTATTTTATCAGTTCCGTACCTTTGATGCAACCTTGAGTAGGGGTTTAGCCATGAAAGTGGAGGTCAATAGTTCGATTTTGAATAAAGGGTTTTGAACTGAAGATCAGTAATTCTCAAACTTTTCCAGTCGCAGATTAAAAAAGTGAGAAACACTGCCCTAGATTGTGTTTGGAAATCGTTGTGTGCCTCTTTAATTAAAAGAGTTGTGATTCAAGGGCAATTCAAGAGTGGTCAAATCCAATCCACTGGAAGTTTAGAAGAGTCGACATGAATTGAATAATAGATTTTTCACGAAGTTTATTAATAGTTTAAATGACGATGAAATTAGTTTTAATTGAAACTTATTAATTACCATGTAAAATAAATTTTAAGTGTCCAATTATTAAGTCTACGATACTAAAAAGTTTACATTTGTTAGTGCTTCCAAACCACTTCAATAAAGTTCAATTCAAGTCAGGGGCGTAGCCAGGAATTTGAAGAGGGGGGTACAAAAAAATTTTTTGTATGGAAAACTTTTAAGGGGGGGGGGGGGTGTGATTTTTTCGAGTTTTTCATAAAAACTCTAGCAAAATGAAGAAATTTCTCAAGACGAAGAGGGATTTGTCCCCCAAATCCACCCCTACGCGCCTGATTCAAGTTGTTTTCAACTTTTTTTCACTATCAAATAAAGTCCAATCAAATCTACAAAAACCTACAAATTGAAATCAAATATTAATGCCTAGTCATCATGCTTAATCAACAAACTCATCAACATCATCCGAATTTAAAAAATTCAGAATATTTAAAAAATGTAAATCACAGTCTTAAATTGGCATGTTTATAAATATTAAGAGCTTCTATATATATTTTTGACGCCAAGCGATTATCACGAGTTTTAAATAAAAAGAAGGTGCTTGATAAGAGGAATTGACCGTCTAGATTAAGTCTGGAAATGATTGTTTTTGAAGGATTATTTCTGTTGCTTTATTTACAAAGAATTTAAATAAATTCAACAAAAAAAAAAAAACATTGAGATTTATTCTAAGGTAATATCATTCAAAGGATGGAAGAAGGCCATTCGTTAATTAAGGTCAATTTCCATCGCATCTCACTTGACTGCTGATTTTTCATCAACCTTGACATATTACTCTGAATATTAAATATCAATCAGATCAATTCAATATGAATATTTGAAATATACTATTCCTAGCTCATATACTTGACCCATTTTCAATTCCTATATTGCAAATAAATCAAACAAGAACAATCTTATTCATTGACGGCAAAAAAAGCAAAACAAAGTTCAAATAAAAAAACATCCAAAAATGACAAAAAGTTGTAAATAAATAAATAATTGTAGACCTTTTTAGACTGTTTTGACTAAGAGGCTGTCTAGCTGTATACCAGGCTGTGTAATGGAAAAATTTCAGTTTTGAATCTGTTTAAATTGGAGTGAAATTGAGAATAATCTTAAATATGGTAAACTCAAGGTCGTATGCAAGGGTTAGCGACTGTCCTGGCAGAGATGGCATGCCTTCACTTTTGAGGTAGCCCCCAAAAAACATTAGAGGTCAACTCTGTGTCCTGCACTTATTGCACTTTGCTGCACTTCATTCCACATCGCTCTACTTTGCTGCACTTCAATGCACAATTTCCAGGATCCCTACTTCTGGGTTTGAGACATCACAAAAAGTACTTCAACTTGCTCATGTCACAACATCCCTCATAAAGTCCTTCCTTGCTCAGAAGGGCTACTGCATCTACTTGTACCTCACAACAACTTACTAGCTACAGAAAAAATTGATTTATTTTTATTGCAAGCACAAACTATTCATTTCCTTCCTACGTAGAAAGTTACAGCTTTTTTTACGTTCTAGGGTAGGTCAAGTACATGAAAAAAATTTTCCACAGTTATCGATGTCGCTTGTGAAGTAGAAAAACAAGCTCGAAATAAAAAGCTTTGCCACAAAACAAAAATCAATAAAAGAATTGCAATCAGCATTTGTCATTCTCACGAAAATCCGCTTTAATAATTCATGATGATGACAATCGACATTAAATGATACGGATTATCGCTATAACATTGTCAGCCAGATGTTTTTGGTCAGATTTTGGCAGTTTAAAGTTGACTCATATTGCCAAATTATCACCAGTCGTGTGTGTACGACAGATTAGGTTATCTGTCGCGTTCATTCATTAAAAGCGTGATTGTCCGTTGAGTAATCATATTGCAAGTCGCGTACTTCTGCATCGTCTGATTATGATGTAACTTTATTCGAGTCAAGTCATTAACTCGACCTATTGAAAAATAAATTTATTAAAATTATCACCTCAAAATGGGAAAATTAATTAAAACGACCAAGTTTTTAAGTAACACGTACACAAAAAAGCCTTCGAGAGAAGTCAAAGTTTTGGGTTATGAGCTGCTGCTGGCAACTTTTGAAAGGCATTTTTTGTGCACGTTAATCAGGAACGAGTTTGGGGAATAGTTTGAGGTGAAGGTTTGATTAGAAGCTTTTGAAGATTTTGTGGAATTTGCTTTTGAGTTTTGAATTTTGTAGCTTTAGGTTCTTGAACTTAAGGTTCAATTTTTGAACTTAATGTTCAACTTTTGAACTTAAGGTTTAATTTTTGAACTAAAGGTTCAATTTTTAATCTTGAGCATCAACTTTAGGCTTCGAACTTTAGAAATTTAGAACTCAAATCTCAATTCATTAAACTTTCAGTCATCCAAGCCTTACAAAAAATCGCAATTTTCTGGAAAAACCTGCAAAAAATAAAAACAATCAACGAATAATTTTGTGCATACTTGAAAGTCCTTGGAAAAATAATTTTCTACTGAAAGACGGAAATTCTCATTTTCTCAATAATTCTATGGCACAATATAGATTATAAATGAAAATTTATTGACTATGCTTGCAGAAAAGTGCTTTGTAAGTGCTTTTTTGTTCTGATTTCTCGCTATCTGCATAGTTTTATTGAAAACTTTCACACAATGCTTATTTTAACAGGGATAAAATTTTTCTCAAAAATTATGGGCTGTTGACTACGCTTTGTCGTGTTGAGAACGGGAAAGTTTCTAAGGCTTGATAGAAGGTTAAACAGTTTAGTGATGGAATAAATTAGAAAATTTTCATGTCTGTGGACAGCATCAGTTAGAAATTTTTTAAAAACCTTAAAAATTCTGAAATTCAATTCAATCCTAAAATAATTCTATTATTTAAATTTTACGGCAGCTCTGCATCACTTCATAAACATGCCCTAAAGCCGTTAACTTTTCGCAACAATTTTTTTACTGTCAGTATTTTTTTTGGCAATCGGGATTTTTTACGGCACAACCAATATTCGTTATTGAATCAACTATAGTTTTATGTATACATTTTGGATATAAATCTAGGTCATATTTGGTGCTGATAGAATCATAAGCTAAAATTTTTTTTCATCCTCATCCGCAACAGTAAATGTCTAAAATCTGTTGAGAGTAAACAGTACGAGATCGAAAAATGTCTGACGCAGTGGAGGAAGTTATGTTTACGCAAATCATCAAATCTTGATTAACGTACGGCAATCAACAGCTGCTTTAATCAGAATCTGGTAAAAAATAATGTTTGTTGTTGGAAAATTAATTTGAAAAATAAAAGCTGCAGGATCTGATGGATTAAAATTTTTATTGTTGATTTTTTTTTTTTTTGAGGAGGGGGGGGGGTCCTTGTTTGGAAATTTATTTAATTCCGTTTTCTAAAATTACTGAATCTTTAATTTTTTTATTATTTTAATACGAGGGTCTGGCTTATGATGTCAAGGGGGGGGGGGGGGGGGGGGGGAAGGGGGGTAGATTCAGCAAGAAAAGAACAGTTAAAATTCCTGAGGAATCTTTTTTGAAAAAATGACTGTTAATATTGGACGTCATAAGTGAACGACCCCTAAAAATAATTTTTATTTTTTTTATAAAATTTCAAATTTTTTTGAACAAGCCTAAATAATTGAAATTTACTCCAAAGACAAAATTCTCAAAAAAAAAGTAATGAAAAAAGCCTTATTTGTAATCACAAAACGAAAATTACATTCTGTGACTTATCTCCATCTCTCGTGCATCTCATTTAAATTGTAATTGGTGTATGTGTACATAGAATGTATCTATTTATGAGAAAAGTATCGTGCATGATGAATCTAAATAACTTAATTAACATCCATTTAACGTCAATGTAAACACATACACACACGCACGTGCTGTAATTTTGTCGCATAGGAATTTGAGTCTTGTAATTAGGAATTATTCAGCATTCGAAATATATTTTTTGTTTTTAGGGGTTCTTAGTATTTTTGAAAGACATTTTCTTATTTCTCGAAAAAAAGCTTGAATCCCCAGTGCACAAATGTCTCTTGCCCCCCTGCTCATGCTAACAAGCTCTTACCTTCTAATTACAAATTCCCCCAACGATTCCGATAACAATCCACCCTCTCACATTGCCTTCTAATTCTCAAAATGAAATGTGATAATACCACATATTCAAATGACATTGCCTGAATGTTGTACCATTTGTCGCACTTATGCAACATGTGTGTACGTCATTTTGTGTCAAAGCTTCCCAAACTCTCAGTGTTTCTCATAAAAAAATTATTTTCGCATAAATATTCATCCTTAACCTACTT